AACGACGGACAATCTATTAAGTTTAACATATTTAGACTTTTACAGCTATGGTGAGAAACGTTTAAAATTTACCAGAACCCTGTCGCGTCTTTTGACATTTGACATTGACCGGTATTGGCACCCTCGGGATTTGGCAGCCCGCATGTATGTACACACCGCACACCTAGCAGGACCGTCTCTGATTCCACTCGTAGGGAGCTATTTGACTAAGTGGTTAAGATTTAAAGAGTAAAGAATATTTCATGTTATTTTTATGTACGTTTTGTTACAAAGCCGTATTTAATTATAATTTTCTTTAAAAGTATATTCATACAATTGAAGAATGTTTTGTAACAGGTATGTATATCCACCACACACTTTATTTCACCAAGTAAGTTTTTATAATTTTATTTTTAATTTTAGCCCTTATATTGTGGCTAGCGATTCGTAATGTAATTGCGATATTGAAAATTTATTTTTAAAAAGTTTTGGCTCGAGATCATATAATGAAAAAGAAAACATTATGAAAAGAGAAAACCAATGCCTAAGTTAAATATAAACACTTCAATAAAAAAATTAGTTTGACATTTTCACGATAAAATGGCTCTGTAAATGCAAAAATTGTTTTATTGGCTCGCCTACTATTTTCAAATGAAATTAGTATGTGGAATAAGAATGGCTTTGACAATTTAGCTGGCAAAAGACACGAAAAATCGTCGATTCTTTCGTATTTGAAGCAATTTGGAAATCGAAGCGGAATAGAATTTAACATTAGTAAATAATATAAAATAAATATTGAAAATTATAACGAGATAGTTATGGTTTATAGATATAATATATCTAAATAAATAGATGTTATATGTTTTTATCAAAGCAAGAATTGGCATTTAGAGGGCAAAGGAAACCTATTGAAACAGAGGTAATTATATTGAACTTGTTTATTTATTAAGTACATCAGATAAATAATCTATTAAAAATACATTTAAAGAAAGAATTAACTGATTTCCCCTGGAAGTCGGCTTCTTACAGAAACACAGCTTTCCTATCATCAAATGTCACGGCACACCCCTGTTGGTTGAGCAAAATGTTCAGACACTAAAAAGTAATTAAAAGCAATGGGAAATAAAATATATCAATTCACAAAAATATTCAAAAGATACTACTATGTTATCATGTGACATCCTTGGCAAATGGAAAGTCACCTGCCAAACTATACTTAAATTGATAGATAAGTACCAAACTTGATGCTGTGTGTTCTCATATTCAGGAGAGGAAACCTTGAGTGAATCAACATAGCATATGCTCTATTCAAGTGGGGGAGAGAGTACAAACCAAATTTGTAATAAACAGCAAACCTGTATGGAAATTTGGAACCATCACCCAAAAACTTGAAAAACTTTACTATATTATCAAATTGGATGAAGGATGCACTCTAGAGAGCCACATCAATCAACACTACAAATCTGAGATAAAAAAATAAAACTACCAGATGTGATGACTCAGAGATAGATCTAGAACCCAACCTGGACCAACACTTTGCAGTTAAATTTAACCCTCTTTGACATGAATCTATAATGCAAAATGGTTGAGACAATGAACTGGAACAACATCAAATGATGGAATCAACATCATTAACACTCAACCTAGAGCAATAGCACCACAACCTCATATCACAACTCTGAGTACTTTGCCTGTGCCCCACCAAATAGTATTACAGAGTACAAAGAGACTGTGCTTTAATCATTGGTTGATTGGGCATCCAGTAATCACTGAAGTGGCTTGAAAAGTAAAATCGAACCTAAGGTAGGTGCTTGGGCTCTGGTGATACAACCCCATTGGATTGTATCACCAGATTCCTTCCTTGCTTTCAAGTTTAACCCTCTAATGTCTACATACAGTTTTGCACAGCTTTAGGCTGTTTGTACACACTCAACCAAGAACTGAGTGATGCTTAATGTCTCGGACTGCAGACCCCCTCCCCAAAATGGCCCACTCAGCATATAGATCTATAAACTGCTTTACTACATTTCTGTCAAATCCTTTAGTCTCTAAAGCATAAAACGCCCACATGGGGGCATTTTTCCATGTTGAGGGGGGCGATTAGTAACAATTTATATTTTGGGGGCAAAAAACAATTTTCTGGGCGATATAGTAAAACATTATATTAAGAATAATTGGATATTTTATTCGTTATATCGTACAATAATTAAACAAATAACATTATACTAGTCACTAGTCTATTCAATGCAGTACAAATTTGGTGTTAGCCTTGGCCCTCGGCATCGGAATTCTGAAGTGAAAGGGGCAATACTACGTAATGGTTTTATTGAAAGGGGCGATACTACATAACAGTTTTATTAAAGGGGGCGATGCTGCGTAACAGTTTTATTGGAGGGGGTGATACTACGTTGAAGGGGGCGACAATTTGTTAGAGGTTGAGAAACACTGCTCTAAAGCATTGAGCTTCTGTTGTGAGCCAGGTGGGTTCTAGCCATCACCCTTGCCTAGCCCTTAAATGGCCTTACTTACATTGGCCATGTAATTGGTGGGCCCAAAGGTCCCATGTTTACTCTAGAACAGGCGAAGGGGCTAAAAATAGCCCTGCCTGGTTAAACAACGAGCTTTAGGCCATAGACCTACTTTATAAAGTTCTGTCAATTTCTTTTCATTTCAGGCCAACTTCAGTTGGTAACTATTAATGATTAAATCAGCCTCTTCTGCGCACAAGTCTGAGGCTAGATCAATGATCTGCTCAGCCCTTTCAAGGACCACCACTGGCTACAATCCTGCCTTTGCAGCTTTGTTCTTCTTGCTAGCATTCCGCTTCTTGTGGACTGCCACTTTTTGATTGTGGTGCCAGAAACACCAACTTCCTTCCTCTTTTCCACTTATCGGCTCCTTAGTACTTCCCGTTAGTTTGGGATGCTCCGCTTTATATTGCACAAAAGTCACATGCACAATTTCCATTTGTTTAGCCATAATAAGAAGGATAAAAGAAGAGGGGTTGAGGCCACTCCCAACCTTCCGTGGGCACCCATATCCTTTCAGACATTGGAGTAAGTGTTTAAGAGCCTCCCCACAAGTGGTTCGGCTTGCTGCTGGGACAGCTACCCATTTACGTGGCTGCCTACCCAAAATCATCCCAGCCCGGCTGGTTGCTTGGCTTGGGTTTCCTCCTTATCCCTATTAGGATGCTTTCTTCCTGTTTCTGGTTCTCCGGGGTGGTTATGACCCATCCAGTGCATGATGGGCCTTTAAGCATCTCCCTCCCCAAGACAAGGAAGTTTGTCCTATACCACAGAAAGGCTCTTTCAACCACATGTCACGGTAGACAGTAGTCAGCAAGATCCTGTAAGCCATTACAGGTGTTATCCCCTGGCCACCAGTGAGGCTTCAGTAACAAGAGTACGACTCCTCGCCCCACTGGCTTTGGCATGCAGGCCGTGGCCCCAAGGTTAGCACTGGGTGTGCAAAACCCAGTCTTCCTCCTAGGAAACTACTACTCCTTTACCATGTAGAAGGTGTTTTACTTGGCATGTGCTGCCACAGGCTGAGGCAGGATGGACTGCATTCAGTTGCCTCTTTTGCATTCAACTATTGACCTTGCACCACCAAGGAGAATGGGGAGTTCATGAGAGTGAGAGTGTGTCTTGAGTTCCAGAGGGTAAGGACTGTTAGATCCATGGCCTCTAGTTCTCTAGCTGACATTGTGTTTGAATCCAGGAGTTCCAATGTTTCAGCATCCCCAGGCCCTGTAGAGGACACCAAGAACTTCACCCATGAGTATGGCAAGTGGGTGAAGTTCCTAGCTGCCAACGAGAGTGGTGCTCAATCAAGGGTAGGGTGACTTGGGCTGGGCTGCGCAGATAGCGTAGCAGGGATACCTATCATATTTCAACAGCACCCCTGTCAAGAGGCCCTGTGAGGGGCACCTGCTGGTGCTATCACTCCATATTGGCAGGGCTACCAACTTGTGTCAGACAAGCCCAATCAACTACACTCCTTTTATCTCGTTCGAAGACAAATTCTCCCTGGGAATCCTGTTAGTAGTGGCTACAGTGACCAACCTCCAGAATTGTAATTACAGAGGAACCATCTTGGCCCTCTTATTGCCGAGACTATTAAGAACGCCCACCATGCCTCAACCGTACCAGTCTCCCTTCTGTTTTGATGTGACTCTGCATGCCACTATGCCAAATTGCAGCTTTGGTTGCCATCCATCTGAACAGCGATAGGTTCCAGTTTAGGGAGATATTAGAAACCCTGACAGAGGCCATGGATAGGGACATCGCATACAGATAACAAGCTTCATTAAGGTCTGGTACACAGACCCAAGACTTATGATATTCTGACACCTCTGGAACCTTAGGCCCGAGTCTAAAGACTTCTTCAATGGCCGAGACCAAAGTAGGACCTTTGGATTCTCTATATCCACCACCTCACCACTAGGCTCCACACCATGTCAAGGCCAGTTTCCTACCTCAGTGAGGGAATGCACCACAGCACAACAGATTAGAATGCACAAGATCACCTCCCATTTACCTACAAGATTACATTGTTGGAAGATAAAACTAAAATGGAAAAAATGTTCCTTGGAACCTTTTCAGCTAAGTGGGGGAGAATTACTGTGTCTTTTATTTTTGCTGCTTTGTGGCATGCATCTCCAATGTATATGTATTCAAAAATGGACTTTTTTGTGCTCCATTCAACATTTTGCTGTTGGTATGTTGGATTCAACTCAGCCACTTTGGACTAAACACACATTACATTTGATTTTCATCAACATATTTTAATTTAATTGTAAAATCATTTTTGAAAACATTACTTAATTTAAAAATTATAAAATAAAAGTCTGATTAAATTACTCTATTTAAATTGCAAACAGCATCTAGTTTAACATTCTGTAGGTATTATTATTTATAAGTACAAAGGTAATACAATTAAATCAGATCAATTTTTAGGTATTTGGCTATTTTATTATTTTTATTAAAAATTTAATAAATTCTTTCTTTTTATTTAAGCCATTGATGATAACTGTTGGAGTGATTGTATTAACACATCTTATTAATGGAATTTCAATTAAATTTCTTATTCAGTATTTGGGTGAGTAATTTTTAAAAAAATATTCTCAGTTAAGAATTTGAATTTTTGACAAATAAACAATTTTATGATAATTACTTATAAATTTATGTCTATATTATTTTAAAAAGTAACATCTAATTAGATTTATTGATGTATTTAATAGATATATATTTTACAAATGAAATGCTATACTTTCAAATAGCTATTTTTAATCTTAACTATTTTTTTTGCCATCTAAGAATAAGTATGTATTTGACTGCAGGCTAAAACTTAAGATTTGTAGATCTTGGTTTTAATTATATTTTTGTTGCTGTCACAACAAATTCATTGTCCTTAAACTTTGCAATGAAGACTATTGTTTAGTTTACTTAAATCTGAATAATGAACTAATAGTACTAAATTAAAATAAATCCACATATAAATTAACTTAGAGGCACATTGGTTTAAAAGTAAAATTAGCATTGTTGATATTCAAGCTTCTTGTTCCATTCAATATCGATATTGAAGGATCTGAAGTGTAGTGTCACTTTTTAACAGACTTATCATACAGAAGACACAGAGATGACAGAAATAAAACTAGACTTTATTGGTATAAGTGTTACATTTTGGGTGTCAAACCCCTTATCACTTTGATTCTCTTAGGTTTACCAAAGAGAATCAAACTGGTGATTTACCTAATATTATAAGTATACTTATAATATTAAGTAAATCACCAGTTTGATTCTCTTTGGTAAACCTAAGAGAATTTTATTTTATTTTTAACCTAAGAGATTATTTTATTTTTATTTTTTGTACATAATTTTTTTTCATTTACTAAGAATGATTTTTAACTAACTTTTCTAATGTTGTGTATATAATAAATTAAGTATTACATGCTTTGATAATTTAAACCAAAATACAACAATAAAAATATATACTTGAATATCTAATTTTAATTTATTATAAAGGTTTGGCATCAGTAGCAGAAGGAAAAAAGTGGTCTGTAACTTGCTTAATTCAGCAGTTATATGAATTTAGTTTAGAATTCATGAATGAATTGAAAAATAATATATTATTAAGTGCAGCTGATTGGAATTGGATCACTGAAAATATAATTATAATGAAAGATATGAATGAAAATCTATTCATTGGTGTAAGATATTTATTTATTTTTAAATTGTTAATTATTAAAATATTTTTGTAATATTCTTTCAAATGATGTTGATTTGCTATAAGTTGAATTTTATTTTTGTTCTGGCATAACTTCCATGAGTTCAGTCCATTTTGTGTCTTTAAGTTGAAATTCTTAAGTTGAGTTTCTTTGTTGTTCTTTTTCTTTTTTGTTTGCTTGTTAAAAGGTACTTGTAAAAGGCCAATGGCCATAGTGTCTCAATTAATGATGATAATAATAATAGTTATTTTTATTTTATTTTTTTCAGTTTTGGGTCTTTCTATTAAGAGGGTCTTTTATTCCATACCCTCTGTTTTGATGTGACTCTGCATGCCACTATGCCAAATTGCAGCTTTGGTTGCCATCCATCTGAACAGCGATAGGTTCCAGATTAGGGAGATATTAGAAACCCTGACAGAGGCCATGGATAGGGACATCGCATACAGATAACAAGCTTCATTAAGGTCTGGTACACAGACCCTAAAAAGTAATTAAAAGCAATGGGAAATAAAATATATCAATTCACAAAAATATTCAAAAGATACTACTATGTTATCATGTGACATCCTTGGCAAATGGAAAGTCACCTGCCAAACTATACTTAAATTGATAGATAAGTACCAAACTTGATGCTGTGTGTTCTCATATTCAGGAGAGGAAACCTTGAGTGAATCAACATAGCATATGCTCTATTCAAGTGGGGGAGAGAGTACAAACCAAATTTGTAATAAACAGCAAACCTGTATGGAAATTTGGAACCATCACCCAAAAACTTGAAAAACTTTACTATATTATCAAATTGGATGAAGGATGTACTCTAGAGAGCCNAATGAGGGTCTATTTAAATGTAAAAAAATAGGGATTTTAAAATACAGTGGGGACAAAGTGATAATATCTGTGCTCCCTGATGCAATTGAGTGTGCCTAATGGAATTTAGGTGAGAAAAATAAAAGAACAGCATTCCATGCACCTAACAGAAAATAGACATGGAAAATGAATCAAACACAAGAACATGGATTGCCTCTCCATGTTGACAAGTGCAAGGATCATTTCTCCTGTGGCCAACTGGTATAAGCAGGGTTATGGAAAGGCAAGGACAGAGAGAGTACATGTCCAGGATGCCATATCTTCTCTGCACCTGAAATAATGGGGTGTCAAAGTTCCAAAATTATTACATGCACAAACTAATAAATTCATAGAAAACTGTCACATACAAGTATGAAAAATAATTATATTATGAAATGTAATATTATATTATAATATTATATTATATAATATAATATTATAAAGTTGTAAATGCATTATATTAGTAAAAAGTGTTTTTAATTTTTACATTTGTAACATACTTGTGAAAGGCTTATCCAAAAGGTATCATATTTAAGTTTGTCCTGGTGCCAAATACTCTAACCATATATATAGATACAAGGATAGCCTTTTTTGTGGCAGCAAGTGCAAATTTCACTTCAATTTTTGGGGAAATTTCAACTACTGAAAATATTCTGCACTTTTGATAAAAGAGGTGGTCAGGTTAGAGATATAATCATCTTTGGATGTTTTACCGTATTAAATTTGAAAAAAAATTTTATTATTTTGATGTGGTTTTATGAGTCAATTCAATTATCTGTATATCATTCATTTTACAATTTTCTCATTTCATCTATAAAGTATAATTATTTTTCTATTTTAATAAATAATTTGTTTTAAAATATTTTAATTTAAGAATCATTCAGTTTATTACAAATACATTGGTTTCTTGTACTTCAAACTTAATTGATTCCAGGAGGCCATTTGAACTCTGAATTGTTTGAAGTCCAGAATAATTTTTCCCATTAGAAATAATGGAAAGTGAATTAATCCATACCCAGACTTAAAGAATACCCATTTCGATACACTTAAAACAGTAGCAACTACACATAATTTGAGGTAAAAATAACACAATTAAATGTCATAATAATAAATTAAAATACAAAAACAATAAATAAAATACATAAATAATGTATAATAAAATGAAAATTGCATTTACTGGTTGCATACATTGACTTTGGCATCTTAAACATGGCTGCCAAATCCATCATAAGTATACCACTTTCATGCTTTGTGTTAAGTTCCTTTTTTATCATAGCTTTTTCAGCATTCTTACTAGTCAGACTTTGTTGCTTCTACACACTTCTTGGATGCCATAATTAATAAGTAAAGGTTCAACCCAATATAACCTTTATGCAGAAAGTTTGAATATTTTTAACAGTTGTCATTACTTAATATAATTAAATCACACATTTATAACAGTTGTAAATTTTAATGCATTATTGCTAATTTAAGATATTTTTATTTTTAAAGTTATATTTTTTGGTTTTTTTCTTCACTACTAGGTGAGTTAATAGACACAATGCATTTTACATCATCTTTATTAATCTTCCATAGGCTGATATGTGTTTCGGACAAAGGCCCCTCATCTGTTGGCTTTGCATCCGGAACTTTCTTTAGGTTGCGTTGTTACATATATATTTTTTTCATTTAAAACTATGTATTTACAGTTAAAATTGTTAAAATATCATTGCAGTTTAAAATATATTTATGATTTAAATTACTTATGAAACCTTCACTGTAATAGTAATTTAAATCATAAATATATTTTAAACTGCAATGATATTTTAACGATTTTAACTGTAAATACATAATTTTAAACGAAAAAAATATATATGTAACAACGCAACCTAAAGAAAGTTCCATATGTAATGACGACAGATGAGGGGCCTTTGCCCAAAACGTGTATCAGCCTATGGAAGATTAATAAAGATGATGTAAAATGTCTTGTGTCTATTAATTCATCTAGTAGTGAAGAAAAAACAAATGAAGGAAGACATGTTCTCGGAAATACATAATTATATTTTTTGGTCAGAAGCTTATTTTATGCTTCAAGTGCATTTTTTATTCTTTGTGCAGTTCGAATTTTGAAGCATCGTTCGAACTCTGAAGTGAATTTTTGTCAAATTTGGCATTTAAACTCTGAAGTGTTCAAAGTTATAGTCATTTGAAGTACGAGATACCACAGTATATATGTTTTATATGATTATATTAAAATAAAAATAAATTATCCGTTTACAATGAGAAAAACTTAGAAATTTTTTCAAGTACCAAAGTGACTACTGAATTTTTTTAATTGATTTGATGCATACATATTTAATCTATCATTAGTAAATGTCAAATAAAATATTGCTTAAATTAAAGATATTATTGTATTAGTTTAAGATGCATTTTTAATTAATAAATTACTTTATTCAAAAAATAAAACAGAAAGAAGATAATAATGGTGAAACTCAATGCTTGTTATGTAAACAAGAATTAGAAGAAACCAAAAAGGCCATTTTATTAAAGAGAGATGCTAGTGTTCTAACTAATCAATGTTATATGAAGGCTATACATATAGCTGAGGTAAAAAGAATTACATTATTTTCATTACAATAAAATGTCTGAAATTTAAAAGAACAAATTGTAAGTTGATGTATAATAGAGCTGAATACTTTAATTAGTTTGTAGAATAGATAATCATACTATTACTATTTATTTTGTGTGTCCATTTTTAAAGGGGATTTCTTTTGTTAAAGGTTTTATAATTCGTATTTGTAATTTATTTTTGAAATTTTGACTCTTAAATTTTTTTAACTAATGACAACAGATCACCTTTGGCCACCAACAGTAATAGTTTTCTGAGATGGAGTTATGAATACAAAATGAACTTTCTTACTTTAAAAATGCAGACTGTACATTTACAATATATATAAAATACAGAAGATACAAAAACATCTTCACTTTGGCTCTTTCCAACACCATTTTTAACCATTTTGCATATTGTAGCAGAGTCATAGCCTACAGTAGAAGGTCATCTCTGAGAAGGAAGACTGTTTGCTAGTTCCTGGTGTTGGAATGGGCGAAAGTAAAGATGTTTTTATATCTTATGTATTTTATACATAAACTTTTTTTGATATGTTTAACTGAATAATCCAAGTTTCTATTATGCAAAAACTATGTGGTTTCCTTAAAAATTTATTTACTACATAATTAAAATATCATAACTTGAATATTTCATAAATAAATCAACAAGAATTATAGCATAAGATTTGTTCTAATTTAGTCATTTTAGTTTTTTTACTTCTAAAAAAGAATGAGCCTCTATCAACTTTTCCAATTTAAAACTATATATATTTTTAATCTTATTATACCTCGTAAGTTATATAAATTGTACATAAAATCATTTTATTTTACTCTGTGATATAAGGTAGTAGTAATTGTTTTTTATTTATGAGAAGTTGGAGTTAAATCATTATTAATTTGCATTTTTTATATTGATCATTTAAATATTACTTTTTAAAAAAAATTAATTAAGATTGCCAAAATATTTAGTCATTTCAACACTATTAAATATTATTTTTATAATGAAATATTGAGATCCAATAATTTGGACTTTTAATTGCTCTGTGTTTGAATTTTGTATTTCTAATTTATGCTTACAAAAATTGATTATCGCTTTGTTAATTATTTTTATCTTCAATTGGATAGCCAAATAAAATTAATATTAGACCTATTAATCATTATATTTATTGCATATTTCAATTATTCATACCAGTGTTGTGGAGTCAGACTTGCCACAGTTGCATATTTTTGGGTAGAGTCAGAGTTGGTAAAATTCTTTCAACTCTGGTGACTCTGATCTTAAATTTTACTATTGGTAAAATGTGAAGTATGAAAAATACTTTTTAATTAATTTATTAATATCTAAATCTAAAGAAATTTCTTAGAAAACAGAAACTTTAATAAATTTAGATATCAAAATGATATTTACCTAAAAAGAGCATTTCACATTGAAATGTTTTGTGTATCTCATGCAACATGCTCTATACTTACAAAAATAACTTTTATTAATTTAAGGCTGACCAGTGACTGAATGGATAAAAAACCAAACACTGGTAGCTGGCTATGGAATTATGCCTCATCAACAAGCTGGCCACTTGGAGTTTTCTATGTTTTCTTCATGTTAGTAACACCTAAATAAGGGGCCAGTTTTTCATAAGAGTTCTCCCAGGAGGTAACCTCTTTCAGCAGAATGTCCATGTATTGTGTTGCTGCAACCAAAAACACAAACGTATTATTAATTTAAATGAATAAATTCACATCATCTAGAGAGCTGTACCCTTTATATAACATATACTGAGCTCGGTATGTTTTTGCTATTATTTGACAAAAATTTAGAAAGCATCGTACAATACTTACCTGGCTTTGTGTTTGTAGAAAAATATCTTAACCTTTATATTTTATTATGTTTTTCATTGCTTGTATGATATTTTAAAAATTGACACTAAGTAGTGTGTGAGTCACTTCAAGAAGTTCAAATGATTTTTTCAATTCATGTATTGATTGATTGGTATTAGATAATGCAACATGAGGGCATTCTGCCAATCAGGGAATGTGCCTGCCAGGTGAGTTTTTAAGGAAAACTGACCTTTATTCTGGCATTATCAATGTGAAGAAAACCTGATAAACTTCACTAGCCAGTCCAAGTCAATTACTAGTGTTTAACGTTACACTATCTGGAACCTGTGACCAGTGCTGTACGCGTATATATAGTGTATCGCTTGACAAACGTTTTCGAGTGATCTGTTCGCTCTTCTTCAGGTCGACTGAAAATTCCCCAGTCGGAGTGTATATTATTCGTTTCAGTCGACCTGAAGAATAGCGAACAGATCGCTCGAAAACGTTTGTCAAGCGATATACTGTAATTTATGATTTTAGATAAACATTAAATGTAATATAATATATGTTGACAATTTAAAACAAAGGAAATGTAATCGAGAGGTGCCGAGGTGGTGGGACAGAAAGCGAGCGAGAGAGCTCGGGGTAACCAGCTGGATGTAGAAGTGTTTAGTTGTATTATTAAACAGTTATTCGTACCATATTATCTGGTCAGTTGAGTCGTTTATAATACATATACTATATATATGCGTAGAGCACTGGTCACAGGTTCCAGATAGTGTGACGTTAATTTCACCCCGGTGCTGAAAGTAGAACAGTTCCTATATACTAGTGTTTAAAGATTAAATCTGCTTAGTCACTGGTGCAGCATGGATTCTGGGTAAAAAACTTTTTGCAGCAGTCTCAATCAGAATTGAACAGCATATTTCCAGGAAATATAAATTTCCAAGAAATACAAATTTCTAAAAACTGCAAATTTTAACAGTGAAAAAAATCATGAGGCAAAGGAAACGGTAGTTTTGGTACTTCAAATCATAGACTTGTTGCAATTTTGTTCCAAAATGGTTTATTTAAATGAATAATGTAATAAAACCAATAAATAGATGGTCAAAAACTTTTAATATATAAAAACAAAAGAGAATATACAAAATGAGATACAAAACAAAAAATGAAAATTACACGAACTTTGTTTATATGACTAAAGATAATAAAAAATGGTGTTTAAAAACTATACTAATTCCAAACGAAAGAAAAAAGTTATTGATTACATAAAGTTAATAAAAATCATATTGTAATTGTTCTGTCACAGTACCTATTTAGAATCAATTACTTTCTAAACAAGTAAATACTTTTTGTAAAGTGTCATTGCAGTATGCCCATTACTTTATTTAAAAGTTTCTTCACATCATCTGTCTTTTCCAGTTTTAAAATTTATAAAAAACAAGTTTATTCTAACAAGTTTATACAAAAAACAAGTTTATTCTAACAAGTTTATACAAAAAACAAGTTTATTTAAGTTTATTCTCCAATGGTAACAAATCAACTAATAGATATGACCAATTTTTACCTCTTTTTAACATTGTATGCTTGCACATCCTGGATCTATCAGAATAGTGCTGTTTGCAACAAACATATTTAAAGTTTATTCTGATTACTTTTATTTCAGATACTTTAAAATCCATTTTTGACTTAATGTGTGAATGAATTGCAAGTTTTTAATTACCAACTTGCCAGTCTTTACCAAGAACATGTATTTGTCCTAAATGCTTAAAAATTTTATTGTAGTCTTCTGGTAAAAGGAGCAGTTCAGTTTTTCTTAACATTTTTTCTACCCTTCCAAAGGCCCTATCTATGGGTAAATAACTATGACCCTGCACCGGATATGCAATCTCAAAAATTACACTATACATATCTGAAAGTTTACTTAGCATTACTAATAATGTGTAATTTTTGTTTTGTGCACTGCATCCATTACAAAACAAATTAATTTTCTTGATTTTTGTATTTTCCTTATAAAAATTTCTACAAAATAAGGATGCAACCTCTTTCTAGCATATTGACTAAATACTTTTTGAACTTCTTCAAAAAATGTGGCCATTATTAAAGAAAAATTAAGAAAACAATCAAACACAATAGCACTTGCACTTCAGAAAGCAGTCATTACTGTAAAATAGTCACATGACCAATATACACTTTGTAATTGGCTGTTATGGAAATGCAACAGTTTGGAATTAAATACAAAATGAAAAACATTACATTTGAAAAGAAAACCATTTTTTTGATACATTTTTCAACAGAAGAAATACCCATTTTGAAAAAAAAAATATTGTAGGGCTATAGAGAAGCATATTATCAATGTGTTGGTGCCATAAACTAAAAAAAAAATAAAAAATGGATATATATCACTTTGAAAATAGGCTCTCCAATTTGATCCCAAATCCTTTATGGAATGCTACCATTCAATCATCTGACTGGCTTTCAGTGTGTGAGAAAAATAATGAATGTCTTTGAAATTAGTTCTTAAAGCTTCACCATGTTATTAAAGCAAGAACGCAAAGTACAAAGACAATAATAAAAAATCCAGCAATGAGTTGCATAACTTTCCTGGCAAAAGAATTTTAAATTATGTTTGGTGCTATTGGTTATGATATTTTATTTTAAAAAACTTTATATAATTAATTATTATAAAATGGCAAAAAGCTTAATTGTAGGATAGAGATGGGTGTTATAAAAAGTTGTAGATGTTCATAATGAGTAAAATCTTTTTCATTACATCTGATCTCCCTCAAGATATGACACATGACTATCCTCTATCTCCCCACCCAATTTACCTTTGACTATCAAAATTTCATACATTAATGCCCCTTATACATAAGCTACCAAGCCAAATTTAGTTTCTTAATCATTACTTCATCCTGAGATATTAAACAAAATAGATGCCAACACACACTCACATATTAAAAATATATCCAAGAAATTTTTTTCATTTTTTTACTTTTTTGGGTTCAGGGTGTCTTAAAACATAAAGATTTGCAAAAAACACTCTGAGGGTCAAATTTGACATGATTCCAATATGTTTCCATGTTATGTATACATAACAGGTAGGAAAGCAAAACCTTATGGTATTACTTTGAAGTGCCAAACTTATCTTTGCCAAAGAGAAACTCCCAATAAGAAATTTGACT